AAGATTGTCAGTTTTACTAAAATATATCCAAGCAGCCGAGCTAATTAGTCAGATATGATAGTAGTAGTTAGGGAAGTGTACACTTAAAAACTGGAGTGCATTTACTGTAAGGTCTGATAAATGTGCGTCCTTTTATTGATTTGCAGTTGCATTTCACTTTCCTCTGCATTTGGCTTTGGGATTTATATATGATGCTTATGTTGATCTTAGGACTCTAGCTTTTTGGCTTGTTTCTTGCCTTATATTCACAAGCTACATTCATCCAATTCCAGCCAGCCACAGAGATAATTAAGGAAATTGCGGTGCTAGAGTTGGAAGTTGTACATCTGGAACACTATCTTCTCTCATTATACCGAAAAGCATTTGAACAACAAATATCGACAGTTTCCCCAATTTCAAAGGATAAGAGGTTAAAGTTGCCTTTGGATACCCCAAGAGGCAGCTTCCTGGAAACTTCTAGACTTGATACCCCTTCAAAAAAGGAAAACTCTGCCACTCTGTCTGGTTACCAGTCACTCAAGAATCCAATGAAGGAATCTAGTGTTACTGGAAGAGAAGAGAAGCAATTGGATTCCAGTGTTCATTGTTGTCACTCATCTCTTTCTCAATATTCTTCATCTTTTATTACAACTCCTCTGGAAGACTCCATGGCCAGAGCTGTACGTGCCTGCCATTCTCAACCATTGTCCATGATGGAGGTAAATAAATTTTCTGTAAGTGATCCACTATTTTTTGTTTTATTATGTACTGTATCTTTTGTTACAGTTATCTCAATATTCCGCACTGCATTAAAGCATGATGAATTCTATAATTGCTTGCCATAAATCAAAGGACATACCTTATAGCTAAATGGTGAAGGAATGTCCACAGTCCTGAGATGGTGGAGTTCAGCCATCAAGCTGATATTGCACTCATAATCATTTTGATGCATAGCTAGTAATTTGGAGAGCTCAGCTTGCTAGATGGTAACTTTCAGCTGCTGTTTTTACAGTATGCTCAGAATTCGGCAAATATAATTAGTCTGGCTGAGCATCTTGGGACTCGTATTTCCGACCATGTTCCAGAAACACCTAACAAGCTTTCTGAGGAAATGGTCAGGTGCATGTCAGCTATACTTTGCAAGCTTGCCGACCCACCAGTGACAAACCATGGCCTTTCATCTCCTAGTTCATCTTTATCATCAATAAGTGCATTTTCACCACAGGATCAGTATGATATGTGGAGTCCTGGATTTAGAAACAATTCATCTTTTGATGTGCGGTTAGATAATCCTTTTCATGTGGAAGGA